TGGTTTTGTGGTGCAACATCCCCATTGACCAGAAATAGTCTATTTTGTCCTCCTGACGTATTACATGCTGCCTAATTGACAGAAAAGCTTGCCTGGACTGCGGCTCCGCGAAGCGTAAGAATGCACATGACTATCCCCTTTGGGCGCTGTGATGCCAGCTTCCTGAATCTCGCTGATACCCAATGAACGAGCCCATAAATGGGACTCGTAATTATGTAATCAGGTTACGAGTTCTACTTGTAACTCGTTATTTGTTACCACTCGTTCAGCCGTGTTACGAATATAAAAGGAAACTGCATCACTGTAGATCTGTCCGAAGTTTCTGCGAGCTTATCTTGGCTTATCTCGGACCTGGGTTTGATGGATTGAAACTCTGTTGAAGCTCCGTTATATTGTTGTACAGTAATCCTACACCTACTAGTCTCTTGCTTGGCTTGCTTCAGGATCGGGTATTTTGGAATATTGCTATTATATAGAAATGCTTTGATATTGTTCTTGTTCTTCGCCGCTGAGCTATTTTAAGCTATTTTAAGTGTGGAGCGCTGAACTTGAAATGATTCCGGCAGGTTTGGTTCTGATGTTGTATATACATAAAGTTAGAGCCCTTGAGAACTCGTGTCTGCCATTGAATGGCCATCCCTCCAACTTGTTGATAATTCTCGCTTCTGCGGCGAGGTTTTGACGGCTCGTGGCTGTCCAATACAGTGGCCTCGGCGTCGGAGCCTTGCCCTATTCTCGTTGGTGCCGTGTTGTTGGGAATTTTTCATTTAGTTTCCTTGCCATCCTTCCGCTACTTTACAGTTTGATGAGCCCTTCGGATATGGAGCGAGAAGGACCGCCCATTCGGAAGTCTTTTCTTTAGTGGACATTTTCAATAGGAAAGTGGTATTCAGGAAGAGATGGTTATATTATTCAGCCAAGTGCACAACAGTGGGTCACGTGGAGACTTCAAGATTGTTATCATACATGAAATGAGAACTTTACTTGATTTGTGCGTTTCCATTCCAAAATGTCAGTCCGTCTGGGAGGCATTCTCTGAGAATCTGCAAATCCTGCTCATCAAAATCCACCTGCTGAACCAAAGTGACTGAAATTAGAGACTGCCCGGAAATGTGGCCGGCGCTTAGCATCGTGACCCCATGGGCTGTGCGGTTTCTGATCATATCGCAAAATAAGGTTCGCGATGTGGCGGAAATTGGCTCCGACAATAGTAATTCCTGGAGACAGGGAGCCAAGATATCTCTGCCGTCGATAGGGAACTTGAATTTAGAGAGCATATTGTTCTCGTAGAATCGGTCTGCACTGTGGGCCCATAGCTCAAGGGAGATGAGCTGAGGGGTTTTGGCGAGCAATTTTATCAGTATCTCGCTTGTTGTATTGCTGCTGATTGCCAATTGTTTTAATGGTGGTTTGCAACGGTTGAGCAAGTCGATGACATCCTGTAATTTCCCTGGATCATCATAGACCGAGAGATTCTCCAGGTTTGGGACATTAAGATTGGACATGTCAGGCATTGTAATGCCGTTGTACTGAATAGATAGTTTTCGAAGGGACATCAGTGTGATTGGAGTCGAAATAACGTTTTCCGGGAAACAAATGATGAGATACGTGAGATTGACAGCCATATTGAGAGCAGGAATGAGGTCTGAGGTGCTGTGATCGCGATAATTGGTGATCTGTGACCAAGGCAGCCGCCATGGACTGTAATCTGACCTTGTCCGCAGACATTGCAGTTGAGGAGCGAACTCGAAGACATGGTCCACTGGAGTCAACTCCATGAAACCAAAACTGAGGCTGTTAAGAGAGCGCAGAAAGCCTCGGATCGGCGAAAGGAAAGTGGCGTTAGGTAGAACAACGACCAATGTCCTCCAGCGCAATGATGTAGGAAGCAGGATTGACAACAATGGGTCATCCTTCTTGCAGTCCGAATCCGCAGTGATCCAAATATACAAGGGTGTGTCTCCTCCGGATCTCGCCAATTGATGCCCTAGACGGAGGCCTGCTGAAAATTTGGCTTCAGCCGTCAGACAAACGACGATTGCTTGCCATAGGGTACCGTGCTGGGTTCCGACATCTCTCCATTGTTGACAAATCTGGATGAGAGTATCCCTCGGCTTTGTCATCTTTTCGACGACTTGAATGTCGTCCTTCCAGTCAAAATAATCGATGGAAGCGGAGAAGATTTGCCGGAGTATATCATCGGGCAACCTTCGAACGACAGATGTCAGGGTGGCATACTGTTCGAGTTGGCCTTTGACTTTTACCCTTTCCTGTTTGAGGACATCCAAGGATTGCTCTAATCGTTGGATAGCCTCGTCGTATGAGCGAAGCAAATCGGTCTTTTTAGCGTGATTCGCACGCATTTTGATGATCTCTTCATCTCGAGGCGGTTGATTGGAGCCCAGAAGCTCCTGGACACGAGCAGTTCGCAGGTAGGCATCGTCGTCCGATAGGGCGCCATTCCCGGACCAGTGACCACAACTTGGACAGGGATTGGTTCTCTGGGGGATTTCACTACAAGAAGATATATATTAGATTCATATGTCAAGATCCAGCGCGCGAAATGACCTTTCTTGACCGTGCTTGAGCGTTACCATCATGAATCGATTGTGCAACAAGGGTCGAGCAGAAAGCAGTAGTGTCTAGAGCGCTGCAATATCGTTATGTCCTTAGATAGAAATGCAGAGAATGAGCTCACTGAATATTGACGCTGTTCCTTGCTGCTTCGTCGAGCAATGACTGGGAGCAAAGGAACCTGCCACATGTCACGCTGTCATTGCCGTGACCATAGGGCACATGGCCTGTCACGCCTGTCTGAGTCTGAAAATTACAATTCCGATTGGAGCTTCATTTCTGATCAGCAGGGACTGAGGACTCGTGCGACTGTCCGCAGGAAATGAATGATGAAAAGATGTATTGCGAAGACACCACAAGCTGATACAAGTACCGTCGAAGCAAGATTCGCGTCGTAGTAAACAAAAAGGAATAAATTCCTTCAAACTCATGCGCAAGGGACAGAATAAGTATCGATACACTATCTATTGCGCTTCGTGTAAAAGCTCGACTCGGATCCACTTGAGATTTCTATCGCTCGGACAGACAAGTCACCAGGCCCATTTCGGCAAAGCTTCGGAAAAACTGCTCCTGGCCCTTTTCCAAGCTTGCTCTCGAACCACCATGTTGTTTTCTAAGACATCCAGCGTCGCAAAATGCGCGTCAGTTGGGCGCAAATTGATGGCGACAGCAGTCCAGGCGACGACCCGCCGACCACAGAAGGCCGAGGGTTCCATTTCGTCCATCTTCACGACCCTTGACGAATCTGTATCAAAGCTCACAGTCCTCCCAGATCGTTTCAGTGATCTGAAGCAACGGCTATGGAACGATTCGTTCATTCAGACTTGGGAAGACGTTGCGAAAGAACTTGGGGGCGTCACCGAGGAAATCGCACGCAAGGGATCCAACGTGGGATTCTATTTGGCCATTTGACCTGGTTTGATCTTGGTCTTTAGGCGGTCCCGAAGATACAATACCGAGATATCCAGTCTGGGACCCTGTCGGAGGCTGAGATTCTAGGTATCAAGCAGGCTGGGTGTGTCGTGATTGCAGGGGCGGTTTCACCGTCGGTATGTGTTCGTTTCGGTTTTTCATACTGCAAAAGGCTAACAGGCCGTTTCAGGAAGCCCTTGGTTGGAAAAAAGACGTTCAGGACTACATAAATCGGAACCGGGACAAGGGACTCAAGGGTAAGCCTGACTATAATTGTGTTTGAGACCCAATTTTACTGTTTCTCTAGGATTTCCAGAAAATGATCTTCAGGTGTACGAGATATACAACTCACGTTCACAAATATTTGCTCGAACACATCCGGCCATCTTGGATTCCCAGAGATTTGTACTCTCGCTGTGGCACTTGGTCGACTCCTCATTGGAAAGCGAAGTCGATTTATCAAAACCGATCTCTTACTTTGATAGATTGCGAATTCGACATCCAGGGGACCAGAAGTTTACGCTTGGCCCACATATTGACGGAGGTTCGGTGGAGAGATGGGAAGATCCTTCATTCTTCAAATGTTGGCAACAGATTGTCAAGTCTCCCGGTGCCTGGAAGAGCTACGATCCTTATCAAGTATCAAGTTCACGGCTCAACGCTAATTTCGACATGTACGAGGCACCCAACCAATGCTCTATATTCCGCCCTTGGCAGGGCTGGACTTCAATGTCCTCTACTGGGCCTGGAGAGGGCACTCTGAAGGTGTTTCCCAATATCAAATTGGCGACTGCCTATGTGATATTGCGACCCTTTTTCGCCTTCAACCGTTCAACATCGCAATGGGAGCCTGATCTAACAAGTTCTTCATTTCCTGGAAGTGGAATGGGAACAACTCAGGAGCTTTCGGACACGACTCATCCGCATATGCGGCTCAAGGAGTGCATGGTTCCGATTCCACGAGTGGAGCCAGGAGATCAGGTTTACTGTATGTTCTTCTCGACTCCAGGTTTGTCTACTGGAACTGAATGGTTCAAAGGGCACTGTGACCTTCCTCATGCCGTTGAATCTCATCATCAAGGATCATCCGACTCCTCGGTCATGTATATCCCAGCCGTGCCGTTCACAAGCAACAAGTGAGAGACATTTTACCTCGTAGAGCCTGCTTCTAATACTCGCACAAGTGCGAAATATCTCGCCGATCAACTCTCTCTCTTTCAAGACAGACTCCCTCCTCCGTGAGTCCATTCGTTCAATGCACCACCTTCATTCAGATATCTAACAATGAAAAAAGCGACTTTCCTGGAGGCCTGGGCGAGTCTCTATTCGAGGGATATTTAAGCATGAATGAGGTGAAGCAGAGATCATTTGACGGACTGAGGGCGCTTGGACTTGAGTAAACTCGAGATATTAATAACTTGTTTGACATAAGAGTTGACCAATACATAGGATGGTACGACAGACACTCCTTGGAGACCGCCGCTGATAAGATCGGCTGAAGAAGTAAGAGCACGGGGCATTTAGTACAGAGGTTGGGCGCACGCTTTACATGATACTCTGAGCCGAAGTCGATTGCTTGCGTGATGTTGAGAGTTCAATCCTCTCAATGTCCATCCAACCGGAATCATGATGCGTTTCTTACTCGGAAGTCGACCTGTTTTTGCAGCTACATCTTGGCGTACCAGTAGTCAAAGAAGTTGTCTTCAAATGTCAGCTATCACGTATACAATCATTTTATCACTTCAAGCCGTCAGCATAGGCATTTGGTACAGTGGTAGCGCACGCTTCGCATAATTGAAGGGACTGAACTTCCTTGCGGAAGGTTGAGAGTTATTCTCTCAATGTCCATGGGGAAGGTTAGTTCATTACAAACTAACTTTCATACCGATTCTCATATCCTTCCTTTCTCTCAATCTTTTACTCTTTCTTCGTCCCATTAGCTACGTCCCGTCTTCTCTTCTGTCATTAATATTCGTGTTCTATCTTGTGCCATGCGCCATGACTTGAACGTACCACATTAACAAGTGTCCGCTGCATCAGTTTCCGTGGTTGTTACTGATTCCAGCCTCTAGGGCAGCTCTTGACAGACGTACGACACAAAAATTTTAGCTGCCAAAATCTGAAGATGACGTTCGAACGATATGCGAGACTCAGCCACCATACAGGCCCGTGAGAGTTGACGGGCGGCGGCGCACTGATGTCGAGATGGCGGCAGGAGGCAAAGGAGCAACTGCCGCTGTCACTCCTGTCACAAAGACCGTCGTCTGTGCCGGAACGAGTTCTAGCTTAGACAGGTGAAAGATGACGTTCGCGATTAGATTAGATGAATCAATCACCTGATCGATCCGATAAGGCAAGATGAGTCATCCATCAATCGATATCGAGTCAGGGCCTAGGGCTTTTATCGATTTGATTTCCGAAATTTTTTGCTTTTTGTTTCTTTCTTCCGTTTTCCATCTCGTCGTCTCATCCCTGCTTTATCTGCTCTTCCTCTGAGCCCTCGTTGTATTCGTCGTATCCACGTTGTGCCCAGGTAACCTCTGCTTGGATACCGGCTGAGCGTCTGCTTAATGACGATATCGCAGAAAGCAACCCATTCGTAAAGCAAATCCAGAGACCAAAACACGATGTCTATCGGAACCCTCTACACGATCGACGCTAATAAAAAAGGGACCATCGTGAGTCCATCGTGAAACGATCTCGGGGCTGTTCTGACGAAACCTCTTTCTCTCCTGCTCTGTTCCAATTCTGGCTCTTTCCTTGCTTGCATTTCGCTCCTGGGCTGCACCCTCACGACCTCTCGGGCCATCTCGTCGCCCTTTGCACCTTGTTCCATGTCGTCCCGATCCTCTAGATCAGAGCCACAGCAGCTTACGCTGGTCTCATTGTCGACCCACCGGTGGCATACAAGCATTTTGAGACCAACTATACTCCAGAGTATAAGGGTAAGCGTAAATTCACTCGGTTTAGTGCCTTGCTGACTGGTCTCTTTCCCCTCCATTCTCCCCGGTCTTCGCCCATCTCTTCCTTCTGGGCCTTCTCATCTCGTCTACGCTTCGTCATCCATGACGCCCGATTCATTTCCTCAGCCAAATTCCCGCATGGCAAAATCCCAGCCTTCGAAGGTTCCGATGGCTTCTTATTGTTCGAGGGAGCAGCTATTGCACGATATGGTATGCAATTTTGATTCTGTTTGGATTTTGGTTGCTGATTCATACTTCCTTCCTTCCTTCCTCTTTGGTATTCCCATTCCTCGATTCCTCGTATCCCAGTCGCATCTCTCGCCAAAAACGTCGCTCTTCTCGGAAACTCTCCCCAGGAAGCGGCCTTGGTCGACCAGTGGACACATTTGGTCGAAAGCGAGGTCGATGGCGCTACCGGTGCTATTTTGTTGATGACCTCTGGCAAGACGCCTTATAACAAACCGGTATGTCGTTGTGAATGTCGCCAATATCACAGCTCACACGATTTCCAGGCCCACACTCTCCACCTCGAGAATCAACAGCGAGCTCTGCAAACCCTGGAACAGCACATTTCCACTAGGACCTATTTCGTTGGAGAGAGGATCACCCTGGCCGACATTACGATTGCGACCTTGATCCATATCAGCGTCAGGACGACTATTGACAAGGAGGTCAGGGCGAAAGTGAGTCTAGTTTGGAATCTCTTTTTGAATATCGCGACATGCATTCTGTCTTCTTGCTGTCGTTTTCCTTCGTTCATGGTCTTCCTCTCATCCCCGCTAACTTTCGTTACAGCTCCCTCATCTCATGCGTCATCACAACACCATCTCCAACCATCCTTCTATCAAGCCGATCTTGGGTGAGACTCAGTTCGTGGAGAAGGGCGTCACTTTTGTGCCAGCCAAGAAGGTGAGTTGATCAGAGGTTCTGAAGGAGTAGATCAACGATTGCGAGGGCTTATTCGGCCTGGTGTTGGCAGCAGTCACAGCAGAACTTTCTTCCCTTTCACCTTAGATCTTCTTCGCTTCCAAAGAATCTAAAAGTTGACACCTTTTACAGGAAACCAAAGTCGTCGAAAAGGTCGTCGACAAGGTTAAGGCTGTTGTTGCGCCAAAGGGTACGTCGAGCTTCTTCGGCTCTCTTCTTTTATCGATGTTCTATCATATTCCTATCCTTTCGTTTCTCTGTTCCCCATTTCCTTCGTCTCTACGACCTCGTTTCGATCTGCCTCATCAAGTCCATGTTACTTTCGCTGTCTTGCTTCACTCTTCCTATCTTATCGTGTGTCTCATTTCTGCACTGCATTCATTCCTTCTTTCCATCGCTATCTTTTGTTCCTCTTTTTGTTCCATCCATAGCTTCGATGTTTCTCCACTCTTTTTTCTTGTATACTGATTTATCGTACAGCCGCCAAAAAGAAGGACGATGAGGATGAGGATGATTCCCTTGTCCCCCCTGAGCCCAAGGTTTGTCCATTTTGGAGATGCTTTGTCGCTGACTGATTGTTTCTGTTTCTCTTCTACGTCGCATCTCCTTTTCCGCGTCGCGTCCGCTTCTTTTTTGTCTTCGTATCCACTTCTTTTCGTCGTTGTCGTCGTCGCTTCGCTCAACGTAGGTCAAAAACCCCCTCGACGACCTGCCCAAATCCACCTTTGATCTCGAACAATGGAAACGAGAATATTCGAACAAGGATACACGGGGTGCTGGTGGAAGTTTGGAGTGGTTCTATCAAAAGTGAGTCTTGTCTTTCCATTATTCGCGGTTCTTCGTGTTCGATGGATCTTGTTATCTCTTTCATATCTCTTGCTTGTTCGTCCTCGTTCGTTCTACATATTCTCCTTGTTTCCGTCTTGTTTCTGCTTGTTGTCTGCTCTATCAGTTTATGTTCGCTCGCTGACATTCCTTCTCGCAGCTTCGACCCCGCATCCTTCGACGTCTCCCGTGTCTCCTTCAAATACCCAGGCGAACTGACACAAACCTTCATGTCGTCCAACCAGATTGGAGGATTCTTCAACCGATTGGAAGCGTCGAGGAAGTATTTGTTCGGCAGTGTTGGTGAGTCCTTTTTTGCTTGGTTACTTTATTCGTAATCCTTGTCCTCTTCCTTCGCTAACCACATTCTTCAGGTGTCCTCGGCACAAACAATGACTCCTTGATTGAGGGTATTCTCATCAGCAGGGGCAAGAATGTTGCCGCCGTGAGTTTTTTGTTTGTGTTCTGATTGTTGTCTTTTGCTCTCGCTTTTGTCGATTGGAGTTGGTTCGCTTCTCGTCGATGGATCTTGATTCGTTCTTCTCGATCAATTGTTCAGCTCTTTTGTTGTCAGCGTTCGATTGTTTTCCTTTCTTTGCTTCCGGTTTCTGGTTTCGTTCGATGTGGGGTCTTTGTCTTGGTCCTTGCTCTTTGTTTTGTTGTCTCGTCATCACTGCTTGGTTTATTTTTGATCGATACCTTGATCCTTTCTTGATCCTTCATTGATGTGCTTGTCTTCCGTGGCTTCTTTGCTGCTGCTCTTTTTCGTCTTCGTCTCTTCTCTTCATCGTGACGCCAATACTCACATCAGGCTTCAGGTCGTCGAATGCGCTCCCGATTGGGAATCTTACGAATACAAGACGTTGGATTTGTCGAAAGATGAGGACAAGGTTCGCGTTCTCTCTTCTTTCTTCCTCTCGGATCTTTCGGGCCGTTTTTGCTGGGTGCTGTTGTCGCAGTGAGATTGAGATTCGTCGATCTACGAACCCTCGATATGCTTAGCTTCTCGTATACGCGTCGTCTCCACCAGGCCAAAAACTGACCTCTTCATTCACAGAAATTCTTCGAAGCAGCTTGTGCATGGGACTTGGAGGTCGATGGTAAGAAATGGGTCGATGGCAAGAACGTGAGTTTTTTTTATTTCTACTGTCTTTTTTGTGCTTTTCCCGTTGCACTGCGTTTCGCGATCTCTGTTTCTCAGTTATCGCCTGTACATTTACTGACTCTCACTCCAGTTCAAATAGACAGACAGTGTAGAGTCGAACTGGCGAGACGCATGTACGTTGAAGAGAAGAAGAAGAAGAGAAAGATGCAAAAGAAGAAAATCATATCTGTGTTGTGCTCAATTTTTGTTGTTCGAATTGTTTAATGTCTTTTGTGTCCTTAACCTCCATTTGCGTCTGCTTCAACCTGTCAAACGCATCATATGGGTATAGCCACTGTTAGGCAGATATACGGCAGCAACTAGACTCGCAAATTGCGCGTTAAATGGTAGTCGATGAAAGTAGCAGGCTACCTACCTCCTATAAGTAGATGTTTAATGAAATTTATAGAGAAGGCAACAAACAGCGGGCAAAAAACTGGACATTGAGAGGATTGAACTCTCGACCTCACGCAAAGCCGACTACGAAATGCTGTAAAGACCGATGCGAAGCGTGCGCGCTACCACTGTGCCAAATGCCCACAACTGCAGGATTTCCGTGGCATACACTACGTCGCCACAGCTGCCCCGACTCTTACGCCACCGAAGAACTCAAAAAACAATCTTAGGATCGTTAATTCATACCTGAAGCTGAATAGACAGACACACATCCACTAAAGCAACGTACAGACCAGCTTGGGAATATATGAAAAAATGCTTAAGAGTCCTCATTTCAAGGATTTCAAGGCTTGCTGCAATATGGTAATAATGGTGAGGGATATCAGGCTTGGGGGAGTCACAGATCAAGTCTCATTTCCATGGATTGCTGGATTTGAATTGTTGCGCTTTTTAAAATCTGGACTCAGCATTTTTCGCTTCCTACTTTTTACGTATTTTACGTATTTTTGCATTTGTTTGCATTTCTACAAGCACCGCAAGTATTTTGACAGGTTACTGATGTGTATGCGATCGCTGTTCAGGTAGGGTCTATGATATATATGTCAGGACAGTGGAGAATCAAAGGATGCAAAATTTACTTACTTACCTGATTGAGGGCCACTTCTAGAAACGGCGTACGTGAGCGTTTGGTTGCGAGAAACAAGGATGTCATTCAATTGGGTCCGGGAATCAGGGCAAGATTTTGGGGCCAAGCCATGGATTGGCTGAAGTGTCAATGGCGTTTGAGATTCAAGTTCAAGGCCAGGAGATATACAATTACATACCGGTACCACCGGAGAAGGTCCAACATCTTTCTTGGTCATCGTGACAAAGAGGTCTTCAAGCGGAACCAGATCAATCATGTAAGACAAGGGTTCAACGGAACCTGTATCCTGAACCTTCCATTCCGGAACGGGCCCAATCAGACCCTCAAGAGGAAAGAGCTTTATCATGTAGGAGTCAGAGGACAGAGGTTGAGGAGCATCAGGGTCCTCATCATCGAAGAATTGTGATGATTCAGCCATCTCTATAGATTGATTCTGTGCAAAAGTCAAGATGGTAGACAAAAATCTCAAAAATTGACCTGATCATCTACCTTATACCTCTCCTTGTGCTGTTAAATGTATGGGATGTGATTCAAGCTATAATTATAGTAAATGGTGAACCCAGTGTCCCTCAATGAATGTGTTAGTCTGTATATGCAGGCACCATATCTGTCACCTGTACTAGAGTCTAGCTATGAGAGACTACAAATCCAAGCAGAGATTGAACTCAGATCTAGCAGAGTTCAAACTCCGCCAATTATTTGAGTTAAGTTTTCACATATTGAAAAGACTTCAATATGTGAAAACTTAAGTCAAAGAGCAATGCCTGGGACATTGAGATCCTATCTTATCTGCTGATACCAGCTGCAACGATCGTTGATGATCATCCTACATATTTGGTTTCCGATGAAGCATTGTCTCAGCTGAATGAACTGATGCAAACAAGGATTTGTGTAGCGGTAATCTGGTGGATATATGGAGTGTCGTTTCGGCAACGAAATTAGAGCAACTGCAAATGTTTGCAAAGAGGTGAGAGTGAGAATATACGAAAATGATATCTCCATGCGGCCACTGCCCTCAAACTTTTGCCGGTAGAGGTACCCCATGGGCCTTATAAATGTACGGTAGTGACATCTAGAAAATATCTCGAACACAGGAGAAGGCTTGAAAAACTTGGCCATGGAATTTCGTAATTCCAAAACTCCCTAATAATCACAGATTAAATTGTAGATCAATTTCTGAGTCTGATTTTCTGAATCTACGCTAGAAAGTGGGCCCTGCAGCTCTGCCATACATGGTTACAGCTCTTTGCGGCAAATTTTCTTCTTCTATAGTGGATTCAGCATCATGTCTGCTGAGAGCAGAAGAATAATTGGATCACCTGGTGTCTGGTTAGGTGGCTCCGTTGTCTGAAGAATGTTTCACAATGATCACACTGGAATGGTGTCTCTCCAGTGTGGATCAGCTATGATACAATCAGTTCAAATTGATGTAGCACATATGAAGAATGAATGACCTTGTGAGATTTCAGGTTGTACCGGCGTGCAAAGGATTTCTCGCAATTATCGCACTTGAACGGCATCCCTCCCGTGTGAATCCACTGCAATCAAGTGAGTTCACATCCGTGCTGTAGGTCAGCAAATCACCTTGTGCTCCTTTAGGGTCCCTTGAGTTGAAAAGGATTTCTCACAAGCATCACATCGGAACGGCTTCTCTCCTGTGTGAACCCACTGTAATCAAGTTCAGTTCACATTCATGTTGTTGTGTGGTTCAATCACCTGGTGAGAGCTCAGATGAGCCCGCTGTGAAAAGGATCTATCACAATCATCACACTTGAATGGCGTCTCTCCAGTGTGAACCCGCTGCAATTGATCATTCGAACAGTTCCCATTCACATTGAATATGTGATTCGATCACCTGGTGAGACTTCAGACCCGACTTCTGTTTAAATGATTTATCGCAATCATCGCAATTGAACCGCTGCTCGCTGGTGTGAGCCAGCTGCGATCAAGTCAGTTCAAATTCAATTAGGTACGTAATTCAATCACCCGGTGAGCCTTTAGGGTAGCCGGTTGTGCAAAAGATCTATCACAATCATCACACTTGAATGGCATCTCTCCCGTGTGGAGCAGCTGCATTAAAATCAGTTCGCAGTCCTTTAATTTAGGTATGTGATTGAATCACCTGGTGATATTTCAAGTTATCGCGGCGTGCAAAAGATCTCTGGCAATTCTGGCACTGGAAGGGTTTCTCTCCGGTATGAACTCGCTGAATTCAAGTCAGTCTACATTTGTGTAGGTATCTTTGCATCACCTGGTGAGTCTTTATATTACCTCGGTTTCGAAAGAATTTATGGCAATCAGTACACTTGAACCTCTTCTCTCCGGTGTGAATCATCTGCAACCGGGTCAGTACCCCCGTCGTGAATGCAATTGAATCACCATATGTGTCTCTAAGTGATCCTGGCGTCCAAAGGATTTATCACAGTCTTCGCACTGGAAGGGCCGCTCTCCGGTGTGAATCCGCTGTAATCGACTCAGCTCAACCGCATTCATGGCGCTACAAATGGACAATCGTGCACACCTTGTGCCTATCCAGGTGGAATTTGTTCCGCGTGTGATATGGGCATTGTGGACATCTGTGCCGCATTGCTCCCTGATTCAATGTTTCAGTTAGGTGTAAGTTTTCGAATGCGGCAGCTCACCTGATGGCCCTTTCGGCGCTCCTCAGTCATTGCCATCTGTTCCTTTTGTTCGGTATCCTCTTCTTGTGTCGTGACTGCATCATCATCTTTGTACTCTTCTAAGACTTCCCCCGAATCCTGAATACCAAGGTTTTTATCCTCTAGAACAGCAACAGATTGGTGAGATGACGTACAGTTGAAGTTGAACGTTTAGTATCTTGGTTTCTTTCTGCAATATTGCATCCAGCTTTTTCCTGAAAATTCCATGCTCAGAAACCAGAAGAAGAGAAGAAGAGACATGCATTCTGGCTCATCCGGACCTTGTTCGAGTCTTCTTTGGACAGGTCATATTCGATCGACTTCGCCTGGCGTCTCTCTCTCGCGAGGATAGACTTCATCGGTGTCACGACGACAGCTTCCATGCGATGACGTTTCATTGGTGGTCTATCCTGGCGAGGCTCAGGGTGCAGGGAGACGGCCTGTGACTCATCGGTTCGAGACAGCGACCGCTTACGATGCTGGGACACAGATTGAGGAACATACTCAGGGATAGAATGTCCCTCAGAGGAATCTCTTCCGGGTGAAACGGACGTTAAACCAGGATAAGACGCACCAGGACCGTGGTGAATATGTGATGAGTCGTAATCTGATTGCATCCTGTCGTGGATCTACAACAATGGCAGTGTCACGTTTGGTTGTGAAGATCATGGCAAAGTACCTGAGCTGCTGAATCCAGAGTTTCAAGCTGGACGGTGAATTTTTCCTCCTCTTTCTTGGCCCACGAATCCTTGGTGTTATTAATAATGACCATAGCTGAATCCACAATGTCGTATTTTCGGCTGAGGCATACCTCGTCGAATTCAAGTTTGACATCTGATCTCTCTTCTTCTTTCTTGATGGAGCCAGAAGGGTTTGCCTGCTCCATCAATCCGACAAATCGTGTTTCAGTGTACACGTCATCACAGCGACCGTTGAGCTGGAGCGGCCATGATGATGAAGACCAGAAATGTCTCATTTCAATTTCTCACCTCGTTATCCTGAAGCTGAGCAATTTCCGGAGCAAGCGGGCTTATGCTTGGCGACGATAGAATCTTTGTCGCTGAGGAAGTTGACCCAAAGATGATCAGTGAATAAGTATCAGCACTGACCACCTCAGCCTGAGCCTTACCTCCAATTTCATGGGTCATTACGGATCTGCACCGCAAACAGAAAATTCGGAGTGGTTGTCCGACGTGAAAGCAGGAGTGAAAAACGCGGCTTCAAGCTTGCGTACGCACTGCGCCGTGTTGAATCAGTCAGGTGATAAGCCTCCGCGATTTCCAAATATGGACTATCCGGCATTATCCGGGACATTAGTGGGGACATGTCCAAATTGGAAATAATGTGTACAAGGACCAAATATATCCTTTCCTTTGGGCTCTCTGGGCTCGATCCACAATTTCGCTCCCTCCCAACAGATGAATTGATGGAGACTTGTAACCTTCGACTCGCCAGAAGCTTCCATGTCTTCAGGCAAAAGTCTCGCGCTTTTGGTTCCTTTTTGCGCGATAAACTCATTCGAGACAGAGGTTTAAGAAAGTTCAACTCAACCTTTGATCATCACGCCACATATATTCGATACATTTCTGTCTACAAGGCGAACTTCTACATGGAGAGTTTATGATGCTTTGATATGGGCTTACTACTTAACCCTGTGTATAATCAAGATAATCAAGTTATGGCTAAGCAAAGACCTGAGGGACTTAACAGGAGAGATAAACAATAAATTGATGAATTTTGACGGTGAATTCAGCGGTGTACGTGGGGTTGATTACATGATACAATATGCTTCATTTGCACTACCATTGAGGAAATACAATCAGATAATGGCTGATATAACTTCTATTCAGTGGTCTGAGTAGACACAAGTGAGATTTGAGCCCTGTTTGACTCTTTGGTTCCCCTCATTTATTGAGTTTTTGACTGCCTCCGACGGAATACATGCTTTATTCACTCAAACTGATTGAGTTGGAAGCTAATGACAATAGAAAATGGGATGGTCAGCTTGAGGCTACTAAATATTGTAAATGTACAAATTTTCCGAGCCTGCGGCGCTTGACTGTGCGCCACATATGCACTATTCGGCAGCCACACCAGTTTGGTGCTCTTTGACATTACCGCAGCTGCCAAATAATTGTAGCTTGTGAAAATATCCTCCCGCAATCTAGGGGTATCTAAGAGACCATAATTGAACCATGTATTCTGCATGTTCACCCCATTCTGCAGTTACAGTATTTTTTATGCCTGCGGCTCTGTCTGGCATATTCAGCAGGTGAACCTTGATTGTCTGGTGGGTTCTAGGATCGAAAAATCATCCCAAGCAGAGCTATAAGCTTAAGGGGTCTTGCTCTCATGAAATTTGCATTTTTCGAGCCTGCAGTGCTGAGCTTTGCGCCACTTTTGCATCTTTTTTGGAAACACAGCAGTCTCATTGCTCTTTGGGATGCACATCAATGGTATTGCTCTGAATAATCTCTACTATGCTCTCAAGTGGCTTAGAAGCCAAAATTTCCATCTCAACATGCGAGAGGAGCCATATGGCAGAGTATGGCTAAAATGACCAGGGAGCATCACTTTCTGCCATATTAAGTTGTTATACCAGCTCTTTGTGTCCCACCATTGAATTTCATTCCCCAAACAAAGTGTTAACAGCGAGTACTGAGCGAAGACATTAGAAAAAAGAGGCGTGGAAATACTTTCCCAAACGGGAAGGTGCACATGACCGGTAACTGGGTTAACCATACACAGACATAAGCAGTCAGCCTTGATATGGCAGCCAGTTTGGGGCTGCCAGTGAAGTGCACATCAGCTTCTGGGGCGGTCGTGAACTTAAACCTGCAGAGAAGACGGTCAATATAGTGAATTATTCAAATAGGCTCTCCCAAGGAAAAGCCGAAGGAGGAAAAGGAAGACGAGAATAATGTCAAGCAACCAAGAAGCAAATATCGAGAAACCGAGAGGAAAAAGCAAGAAACTTAGGAAACACGAACTGCCGCATACCCAAGCTTCTTCTTTTCGTCGCACAGGTTGACAAGTTCATTTTCCCACGCCTTTTGTTCCTTTGGAGTGATATTCTTGGGTAACATTTCAAAGCCGCCACGTCAGTCCCGAAAGCGTTTCGGGGCCACAAGGCCGAAGGTCGAGCCCATCCATGCGAGACTCGGTGGTAGCAGCTCAGGCATCTAAACTACGAGCCTGAATCACCGTAATCTGAGCGAGAGGACAACTCGAAGCTCTGGAGGCCGTGGTCAGCCACGGAAACAAAAGAAGAAACAGGACAACATACTCTTTCTGAGATCGGGGCTGCCATAGCTACAGAAGCAAGATAGACAACTGCAAGAGAATGGGAGACGAGCGCGCTGAAAAGCATATGAATGGGTTTTGGGTTGAAAGATGATGGGGAAAGAGACCAGCTCTGTAGGAACTTTTTTGCGTACTTGGTGCCTTTTATATTTACTGTAACAATCTTCCATCACAATTTGATCAGATCAGAGATCAGCCCGAAGAATGCCCGAGGCCGCCGACCATCGCATCGCGAAACAGGTTTCACTGGGTCTAACTGGAGATATGGCTATTTATTGAGGCCTGGAACCATGTCATGGGCTCCTTGAAGGCCAAGGAGGGCCGCTAGGACAATGGTACCAGGCTGGACTCAGTAGGCATCTATCTATCTGAAATCACGCCGTCGTCAAGAAGAAGATTCAGGATCAGACTCGAGTCTTGCCCGAGTCCTCTATGCAGGTGGCACAGGCCGGGTTGTGAAAGACGGGAATCTAGTTGAGCCTTGCGTCATCAAGCGAGGTAAGATTCTCTATAAATGAACCAGCGCCGCATCAGGCTGAGTTGGAGCTTGAAAGCCGTACGGAAAATCAAAAGTCTTGCATGAGACTCACGGGCGCGGACATGCATTTTGGACAGACCCCCAACTCTGCCATCGACCGGTTGCTTGGGGAGGAGAAGGGAAAATGGAAAGAAAACAGGAATGCTCTAGCAAAATGGACATTGAAAGGATTGAACTCTCGACCTCACGCACGACCTCACAGCTTAAGCTTTAGGCAAAGCGTGCGCCCTTCCACTGTGCTATATTATACGGGTCGTGAGGGATGTGATTCGCCATCATCGCCAAATAATATGCTGGGCCTCATACATGGAGTCATTTCTTTGTTTTCAAGTCCCATTCACTCAAGTACCAAATGAAACCTTGCAGTATCATGAAAACTCTAAATACCAGGTGAAATCTTCCACTGTGTCAGATCCCGACAAGTCCCTATCATCAATGCATCAATCTCCACCTCTTTCTAGCGTCGATCATTTTAACAGCCGAGGAACCTCTCCTACATTGACGTTCTATCACGACAATGGCCGAAACTGAAACCAGGAAACCAGTCGAGACAGCGGACTTCCTTGATCCTGTCTTCGCAGCCGTAAAATACATCTTCGCACAGAGCACTCTCGCCATCTTCATCGTAGAACTCGTTGTTCTCGCCTTCTTCCACCGTCACGGTAGCTCCCACTTGCGCCGCTTCACGAGGTTCGCTGTCGAGAATCTCCAGAGCATGGTTGTCATATATATGGCTTTGGCTTTGGGTCTACATCTGGATATGGCTATTCTCAGTGGATATTGGGCAAACCCCTGTTCGCATGCTTCCCATCGCTCAAGCTAGCTTTCAAGGACTACAACTGGAATATCTCGGAAAAGTTTGGTTTAGCAGAGATCGACCTGTTGAAGCTGGGCTACGAATGGCAAATCATGCTGGTGGTTTTCTTAAACGGTGGCGTTTATCTCCGCGAAGCCAATTTACCGATTGCTGTGGAATTTGGGAGCAGCTTCTTGATATGTTGAAGTTTGCCTTTGTCACCATGTTATATACGGTGGCCTTTGGGACAGCGATGCTCGCCATCTGTGTCATCCTCATGCTTCTAGCCCGGGAGCTGCGGTACCCGATGAAACCAAGACGGAGAAGGTCGAGAAGACGTTGAAGGATTTGGAAGGGCTAGCGACAATGGTTCAAGGCAAGTGACCTGCTGACTTTTATAAGCCTATCAAGTGGAAAGACGCTGACCGAGAAATAAACGCAATCAGAGCATGTATGAGCGAATTGAAAGCGGCGAACCGTTGCAAAAGGCGGAGAATTCGGAATCCGCTTACGTAATCAATGATTCTGAACAAAGGTCCGTCCTCCAGAGCCATTTCTCGACCATGGTCCAAGAGACCTATTCCCACCGGGTATAGGACACCATGCGCAGGTGCGGATGCAGTCGGTTGGACTGAGATGACGGCCGAACCATGATTTTTGTCGTCGACCTGCAAAGTCGTCAATTTGGGACGTACTGTAACAAAGGTGAGCGAGACGAGCCAAACAAGCTTCGTAGAATCGTTATATAAATCACAAGCGTCGAATAATTGCTCGTTTGAGGAGTAAAAGCGCCCAGAGGAATCGGCTCAAATTGGGGGTAGCAGCTTTAGAAGCTACGGGATTGGAATTGAACGATGACGGTTGGGAATAGCGGAATATGGTTACATTCCATATAAGCTACATTCATGTCGTATGTAGCATCAAGGGCCGCTAAGAGAAGACGAGAAAATCCAGGGACGGCGGATTGCAACGTTGGACCGTCTTCGGTTGGATTCAGGACCGAAAGAGAGTATACACAGCGGAATAAAGGAAGAATAGTCATCCTACAAATGACCCCAAATAATGGAAGCAGACGAGGCAGGTCTTGTCGTCATTTTGCGCTCACGGTCTTGGACGACGAGCAAAATTGCACGTGATGTCGATTCTTGACCTTAGATTTTTCATTATTCCCTCAAAGTCATCCGTCTGCAATTCTCTCTCTTTTCTATGCCATGGAAAACGCATAGCCTCTGTGGATACGCTTTTCTGCGCCGGCTAAGGTTGTCCAATCTTCCTCGGACAGCTGATTGGACCAGTCCCAGAATTCCCGCTTCATTCAGGCCTACTGAAGGCTGAATGAACACCATTGATTTCCAGGTACATTTTCCTTCGTCTATAGAGGCGCTTCAGATGCTCATTTATCCGTTCAGTGCTTCAGAACGACATCCAAATGTGTTCTCATCTCGACCCCTTCCGAACAAGAGACACCGAAACATAACTCAGACACAAACCAACAAGGCGACTTCTTTCTCTGCGGTAATAATGAGCAGCATAAGGAGACCCAAAGGGAGCTATAGAGAATTCGCTATGTCGGGGGTGGAGAAAGGTCGTGAGGATTACAGGGTTAGAATGCGACGACGAGAGAGAAGGAAAGATAACAAGCTGCCAGGGAGCTAAAGCAGAGGAGACGCCACGAGAAAGAACAAACCAGCGAGCCCATACCTCATCAACAATCCTCGGACAAGCTGATTCGTCGAACAGTATCTTATTTATTCTTTCTATTATATATGCAGCATAATCTTAAAACAACTGAAAAGGTCGAATCAGCTCCAATAGATATGGATTATGGATGGCGTGGACTTACCAAACGAAACATTTTCGTGAAATTAGGCTCCAAAGTCATCTCTGGAAACCGCTCTTCCTTGCAGCAATCTTCCTAAGTGCGTCGGGGCATAGCCATTGCCTTTCCGTCTGGAACCTATCAGCTCTTTCAAAAACGGCACCGGACTCTCGCTGAAAGGCGACGAAGCACAGCCCTTGAGGGCATGATACTCCAATCGCAGGAATCCATCGCTCTCCGTCCAGACAGTTCCGTCGTTTTCACCTCCCCCAGACGGCAAAACTTGGAGATACCGACACAGGTCTTTATAGGCTTCGAAGCTGCTGAAATAAAGCTGTCCAGCAAAGAGATTGAGCTCTGTTCGCATTCTGAGGCTTGGGATCGTTGGAAGTCGATTTGCTGGGATGCAGTAGAAATCAAAGTCGTCGAAACTCTTCATTTCGCCAAGGACCCTGGGCGCATAAGAATGTAGCTGGACATTCGAGCTGTTTCGAATACGAGGAAGCAGGGTATTGGCTTCGAAAGGGCTGATGATGACTATGGGAGCGTCTTGAATTCCCCCGGCGCTTTTCCCTTGGAGCACCCAATTAACCGGACGAAGATAATCATGGACGTCTTTCACATTCGGCTCCTGAACAGTCCGTCGGAAATCCCGTGTTACGAAGATCTTTGGCGCTTCAGGCTGACGCATCTTGAACGAAGGAAAGATGGACCAGAGAGGTTGGAAAGTTTTCGCAGGGACAAGACCCTTAGAGATGAAGGTCATAAGGGCTGGATCGACAAGGTGATCATGCGCAGCGACAGCACGAGGTCGCTGCACTTCTCTCTCCCTTTCGACTTCATGACCGACTTCACGCTCTTGCTCTTCCTCTCGATTCACATCCTCGAGCTTCATGATTCCAAGCGACCGTAACTTTTCTCCAAGAGCCGGAATCGCCATGATTTGCTCCGTTCGCGAAGAGCTTTCGATAGGGACGTCGTACATCGAGTCGAGACTCCGAGCTTCCGACTGCAACCATGCTGTCTTCATCGACTCGATAACAGCAGCTGGCTCGGGTGCTGCCAACAATTCTCTGTACGGCGGTGACCGGACCGAGTAATCCAAGCCCTGGTCGGCCCAATGCGGCGTAAAGTGCTCAATCTCGCCACATGTCTCCAGGATACACCATTTGACGATATCGATAGCCTGGACCGAGGCGGTTTTCGCGACATTCCGAATACGACGGTCAATATCTGGAGAGGCGAAGAACATGACTGATTGACCATGGCCCAGTTTTCGCATTCTCATGCAACCTGTGACGAGAGTCAAAATCCATTCTGTAGAAAGAGCAAAAGCAAACTAACCTTGAACAAGTCTGTCCTTTGTAACATTCCGACCGAGCGTCACAGCAGCTCTATAGTTTCTCGGGAGCTTCAGATCTGTTCCCCTAGTATGCGCATCGTCGAGATAGACCAAACATTTGTCAAGCTGATTGCGGAATGGAGAAGATATGAATGGCTCTGTCGTCCCATCTCTCGAAAGCACAATCAACTCGTCAGCATCGTTGAAGAACAATGCAGCAGCAGCCGAATCCGTCAAGTCTAACCACCGCTTGACCAGCTCCTTATTCCGCATATCGAGCATCTGAGCTCCGACATCAAGCAGCACCCGAATGTTCTTCTGGTGCAAAACCTGTAAAAAGGCGGTGATTTCGAAGGAAGGCATGCACTGGTACGCATTGTTCTCGGGCTGAAGGAGGAATGTAATGATTTTGGCATTGGTGCCGCCTTGCCCTATCGGGTCTTCCTGCGATATCGACGTCGGAAGCAGATACTTGTTATCATTGGTCCCGCTGAACCCAGTCGTCAAATGATTCTTCTCCTCTGCAAGATCCCACCCTGAAGTCCCAAGCTTCTGTGGAAACTCTTTCGCAGCTTTCGGAAACACGACCCCAGCAAGATAAAAGTCCACCACGGCTTTGGTGCGACTGAAATGCTGGGCCAGAATGACGAATTGCTCTTGGTCGGCGGTGTTGATTCCAGAGAGCTGACGATACTGGACTGGTAGAGTTGTGTTATGCCGAACCCAGCCTTCATACTCCAGCGCTGGATTGTCGTGTTTCCAGAGCAAATGGAAGCAAACACCGAGCTGCTCGTTCGTCAAACCAGCATAGTAATAGCTGAGACATGTCAAGCCGATAGCAACATCTGGGTGACCAAACTCTGCTCGAGGAGACGGAAGATCTTTGGCCCGATAAGGGACAGCGAGCATCGACCGCGATAGATCTAGGCCATAGTCGACTCGCCACCGCTTCTGAGATAGAATGTAGACGAGAATACCCTGTGAAAGTAGACCCCGTAGCAACAGAAGATGTTTCCACATTGCGTTTGACCGTCCAAAGTAGTCGTATAAGACTGTGAGGTCTTCTTGGGAGACGTTGGAGCTTGTGATGAAAGCATATGTGACTTGACGAATGTCGGCCGAGAGACGGAAATGGACTGTCGATAGAGCGCCGTTGTCCAGGATATCATCAGCAATGAGCTTGACGAGCGCTGCAGCACATTTGGGGTCATTCGAGACCTGAATTCGACGGAAGGAGCCATCAGTGCCATGTTCCTCATGAACAATGACATGCTCCGGAAAAGCAACAGCGAC